AGGCGGGGAACGTTGGAGTCCGCCGTCACTGGAGCAAGCAAGCCTCCCTGTTCGCTTCAGTGCATGGCTGCCAGCCGCCATCTTGGCTGACAGTTAATTTGCATAAGGATATGCTGATTAGCCAATGGGAAGGGTAGTGGTCGTACGCTAATTACCATGTTTCTCTTTTATTAGTGTAGATATAATATAATTCTGCCTTTCACTAACAAGTATACCTACTTACTGTCCTGTCTCACTGAAGTAGAGTTCAGGGCCAGAACTCTCACTTAGCAGGAAAATGAAGGTCAGGGGAAGTCTGATCTTCACATGCCCTCATCACTGCCCTCAAGGAGTTTATGAAAGACCAATAATGGCGACAAAACAAATACTTGGAATAGTTATGCTTGTCAAAATGAAAAAGGGGATGTGAAAGCAAATATTTGTTTTGTACTTTTCATATCAAAATAATTTATTTTGCAACAGTGATCTGGAAAAGCTGCAGAATAGTGATTGATAGATAAGAATAAGAAGAGGGACATGAAAAAATGGCAAGACCAAGAGTAACTCTGAGCTGACAAGGATAAAATTGATGAGAATTTTGGTGGTTTGCCTCTAAAGCAGAGGTTCTCAACCTTCTGGCCCTTTCAATACAGTTCCTCATGTTGTGACCCAACCATAAAATTATTTTCGTTGCTACTTCATAACTGTAATGTTGCTACCGTTATGAATCATAATGTAAATATCTGATATGCAGGATGGTCTTAGGCGACCCCTGTGAAAGGGTCATTCGACCACCAAAGGGGTCTCGACCCACAGGTTGAGAACCTCAGCAAAGGATGTGGAAAGAAGGTAGCCAGTGAAAGGCAGCTAGGCATTAACAGCTTGACCTCAGGCCGGGCTTTATGAGGCAAGTAAAAAATGCCAGAATGGGCTCCTTCAGTTTTCTCCGTTGTTCATCGGCGCGAATAAGTTGATTCCACTCCACGGGTGCTGAGCAGAGAGAATGAAGGAAGAGGTACTCCCTACGACTGCTGTGAATCCAATGACTTGAGCTGCCTGGTAGTTATTGTCATTTCCAGTGGAGAAATAAGTTCCACAGAACAGATCTAATGCAAACAAACAATAACAAATAGAAAGACTCTGGCTTTCTTGAAAAATGCCCTGGTATAAGCTCCTTATGAACCATTTACAGTGTAATTTCCTCAGCTTAAAATATTCCTCTGTCCTTTTCTCACCTGGTGAAATGTGTGTATCCTTTATGACCGATTGTAATATTCCTGCCTCCTCTCTAAAGCCTTCTCGATCGCTCCAGCATGCAGACTGGTGACTCCCTGGTCAGAGGTCTACACTCTACCTCTCTCTCATCCAGCACGTAAAGCAAAACATTGTGATCTGCTTGTGTTTGTCTTCTCTATTGTGAGTTCCTGGAAGACAGGAGTAATGTCTTACAGATCTGAACATCCTCTGGACTTGATATAGAGTCTCATATCCCATCGTGGCTCAAGCATTATCTGGTGAATGAATGAATGAGTCAATAAACAAATGATACTGCTGCCAAAGTTTCCATGCCTCTGGAGCCCCTGGAGCCTTAGCTGCCCTCCAGAAAATGATTTCTCAGACTGAGGTTTGTGGGCCACTGGTGGCCGGCCCTTAAATGCCTTCTTTGGAATCACTGTGTTGACTGTGCATTGTTCTGAGAAACACAGCAAGGCAGAAGTAGAGGAAATTTTAATCAGATTTTCTGAGTAGCCTTTGAATCATAGCATAACCTCCTCTAGACCTAATGCCCTTTCCACTAGAAAGAAACAAAACAGCGCATTAACTTTTTGGCCTTTGTAACCACACAGCAGTCTGAACCACACACCCAACACAGTTGCTTCCCCAGCTGTCGCAGACGTGTATATGCCAAGACTGAGATGAGAGTCCTGGGGCCAGGGGGTCAATGTAATTGAGTTAAGTGTGTGTGATAGGATGAGCAGCACATGCAATATTCAAAGCAGCACATGCAGTATTCAAGCAGCACACTTGAAGTGCCTGCCTGCAGGCTCTCTTGTTTTCCCAGCTCACTGGTACCTTACTTCTTAATGACTCCTGCCTGCCAGAGGGCTGCTTCTATTTCCAGGAGGCTGACAGGCTCTAAACACACACCTGGAGTCATCAGCAATCACCAGCTTATGATAAATTAAAAATGCAACACCATCTAACCCAATCCAAACTCTGATTCCTGGAGGCAAGCTCTGTGCAGAGCATAGTGTGATTCTGCTGCAAAATACATGATGTGACTCAGCCACCACTGAAAAGCATGCATTTGGGGGGGATTTTAATACAGTGCTTAGCATTTATTGAGCTCCTATTAGATGTCAGGAGACGGGCTCTATTGATATTATTGTACTCCTTGCAGTAACTCCAAGATGAGCTATCATTGTCTATTCTTTACACATGTGAGTACTGAGTCTCATAGAAGTGAAAAAAAAAAAGAGGGGCGAGATGTCACATAGGAGAAAAAAGAGAGAAAAGATTTACATCCAAGTCTGTAATGACAAAACATGTTCCTTCTCGATGAGAGAGAAACATCAATCAGCTGCCTCCTGCACACCCCTTACTGGGGATATGTCCGCAACCAAGGTACATGCCCTTGATTGGAATCGAACCCGGGACCCTTCAGTCCGCAGGCCGACGCTCTATCCACTGAGCCAAACCGGTTAGGGCACCACTTGCTCTCTTAACAATGATAAAATTAATGACAACCTCTCTCTCTTCCTGCATTGTCAAATGTCTCAGAGAAGTTGACTTTCTCCACTGGGTTCATTTCCTACTTCCGGCTTTCTCTTTAATCTAGTGCTGTCTGATTTCTGGCCCTTCTGTGGATTGAATTGTGTTGTTGTATAATTTGTAGGTTGAAGGTCTAAACCCCCAATATGACTATATTGAAGATATGGCCTTTAAGGTGGTCAAGTTAAATGAGGGCATAAGGATGGGACCCTAAACCAATGCAACTGGTGTCTTTATAAAGATGAGAGAAAGAGAAAGAGAGAGACCTGGGATACACATGCATAGGGAAAAGCGCGAAGACACAGCAAGAAGGCAGCCATCTGCAAGCCCCTGGGAGAGGTCTCAGGAAAAGAAACCTGTGGGCTCCTTGATTTTGGACTTCATGTCCCAGAACCATGAGAAAATAACCTTCTCTTGGTTAAGCCACCAGTCTATGGCATTTGGTTCTGGCAGCCTGAGCAAACTCGGACCTGGATTCAAATGACACAATAAGAATAAAAGCAGGTCTTGTTATTCACCAAGTTTGCCCAGTGAGTGCTGGGCAACTTGTTAGTCAATCATATTATTTATTCTTTACCATGGCCATTAAAGAAGTGATTGTCATCCCCAATCTACAGATGAGGCTTGGGGATTCTAAGTGGCTTGCTCAAGGTCAGGTGGCTGGTTAGTAATGAAGCAGACAAGGACTCTAATCTTTCTAAGCACTTGACTGAGATTGTTAATAAAAACCACCATCCTATAGAGAGCTTTTGTTCCAAGCCTGGCTGTATATTATCTCATTCTGATACTGACAAAAATTCTGTGAGGTATTTGTTATTGCCCTTATTTTACAAAGAATAAACTGGGACTCAATGAACTTGAACAACTTACTCAAGGTCACACAGCTAGTAAGTGACAGAGCTGGGATTTAATCCCTGTTTTGTTTTGTTTTTTGACACCAAAAATTGTGAGTTTAGTCAACATGCTATTTGAGGGAGAAACAGTTATATATATTTTGGTCTAAAAGCCTGGGGAATAAAAGAATTGAAATCACAAACCAGGTGGCCACTGAACCCCAACTCCTCAGGGGAAACATGCCAGCCACCTTGATCACCATGATGGTGGTCGATGATGTGCTGATCAGAAAAAGTAGAATAAGGCGTGGAAGTGATGAAATCTCAGAACTGGAAAGAACATGAAAGGTTGTTTGCTCTTCCTCATTTTATCACTGAGAAATGTTAAGTTCCAGGAGGCTGAGGGGTTTGTTTGGAATGAAAACCAGCACCATGTGGGACTCTGGCCTCTTGAATCATCTCCAGGCCTCGGTTAACACATACCTCGCTGCGTTGCTAATTCCAGTGCTGCCTTTGCATCCTGAGATAATCTGAATACAAATAGTATTTTAATTCATGCATCTTCTAAGGTATTTCATTTTAATCAGACAATAAATTCCCAAACCCAGACCCCTTGAGCTTCCTGGCTGTCTCCTTTTGTTCTTTGCACCTGATTTAAGTCTCTATGTCTGAGTCAACAGTTCTCTTAGGCCATGACACAGTTGGGCTAGAAATTGGAATTCAAATCACTTGGGAACAACATAATGAGTTTTAAAAATAGTAATCTTTCTCCCCTTTCTCACAACTTTTCTTAAAATACAGTAGAATCTTATTACAGCCCAACTCATAATTATGTGTACTTGTCTCTATCCGAGGTCAAGCCATACCCTCCAGAACACAACTACAGAACATCTTTCTTTATAAACAAACATGAATGTGAGGCCTGTGGTCCTAATACACATGTTTATAAGCAAGGCCTGTAATGCTGAAATAAAACCATTTTATGAAAAAAAATCAGATTTTTAAAATGAAAGTGGTTCAGTACACAGATTAGGCACACAGAATCGAGTCCTTGCCTTATCATGTCATAACACTGTGAGGCCATTGCCTCAATGGCTTCTCCTAGGATCTGACATACTACTGGCTCCACTGGTCCAACAGCATCTAAAAGCGCTCAATAAAAACCGTGAAACAAATGCATAACTACTTGAAGCACCCCAACCAGGCCACCTTGTATCTATAAGGAGGTCCATTTCTCAATAAAACATGACCCTTCTTAAAAAAAAATCTATCCATTTTTCATTATAAAAAGATTATAGGTAGTATAACTTTAAAATTCTATTTGAGCTAAAATTGATTTGTCTGAGCCAAAGATTCAGCCAGCTTGACTTATATTGCTTTATCTCATTTATAAAAAATCCCTCTGAGTCTTTACTTCTACTGTTGACCCTTTCTTAAATTGCTTTAATAGTGACTTGATCAGAATGACAATAACGTCATGATGAGAACAACTACCTTCTAATGATATGTTACATGTTATTATTTAGAAGTGGGGTCTAGTGGCAGGTATCAGAGAAGAGTTTGACGAATTTCACTCCAGACTTTAGCTTCATACTAAACAATACTGTAGGATTCTTGATTACAGCACTGGAAACTACTCCTGAGAAATCTATATATATAAAGAGGTAATATGCTAATTGGTCCTAATGGTGTCCCAGTCACGACCGTTCAATAGGCTGTGTGTGCACAGGAGCTGGTGGGCAGGGATGGGGGCAGGGACTTGTGCCACTGGGACATGAAGCTGCCGCCGGGGGCAGCCCCCCAAGTGGAGGCGCGCGCAGGCCCACCGCGCTGCCCGGCCTGGAGGGGGGCTTCAGGACGGGCTGCGGCGCCCCCCACCTCCATGCATGAATTTCATGCATCAGGACTCTAGTCCTATATAATAAAAGGGTAATATGCAAATAGACCCAATGATAGAACGACCGATTGCTATGATGCACACTGACCACCAGGGGGCAGATGCTCAATGCAGGAGCTGCCTCCTGATGGTCAGTGTGCTCCCTCAGGGGAGCGCCTCTCAACCACAAGCTGGGCTCATGGCTGGCGAGCACAGCAGCAGTGGCAGGAGCCTCTCCCGCCTCCGTGGCAGCACTAAGGATGTCTGACTGCGGATGTCGTGCACCGGCCTCTAGTTCTGAAATAAGAATATGCTTAATGTTCAGTCTGACACATCAGGACAAAGATGAAGTTGCCTGGAGGAAGATTTCCAAAGCAATTTTACATCATATGCAATTTTTCCCCTCCCTTTCTTTCTACATCAAAATCTTGTACAGCCATATACTCAGAATGTCCCATTCCTTAGTCCCACCCCCAGCGATGCTCAAATGGTTTGGCATTATAATCAATTGAGGAAAGAGATTTTTGAGGGTTAAGGAATTTGCTCAAGTGTGCACAGCTATACAGCTGATAAGTGGGGGAGCTGGGATTGGACACAAACATGTCTTTCCTCTTCCTGTTCTTATATTTGACTTCTCTGGATGGAGAGTTTAGACCTGGGCCAGGCTCTGGCAGCAACTCTTTTTTTTAAAATATAATATGTTTTTATTGATTATAGACAGAGGAAGGGAGAGGGAGAGAGGTATAGAAACATCAATGATGAGAGAGAATCGCTGAGCCATGCTGGCCAGCATGGAAGCAACTCTCTAAACTCTGCCAACTTCAAATGTTTTACTCTCAACTCTTCTTGTCTTCACAACCATTCACCTATCCACCCACCAGGAGCTATTTTCAGCCACATGGAAGGTGTACGAGTAGTTAACTCCAAGATGTTGGTGCACAGGTCATGAGTAGAAAGCAACCCATCCATCAAAACACTGTGGAGTCCTACAACTTCCCAGACCACCCAGACCAATTGGAACCCCTCCAATTTCTGTCACTCAAACATGTGTTTCTTCAACTCTGACCCTAAAAATCTGTCAGGACCAAAAAAGCCCTTTATCATTGTACTTTATCCTAATTAATATTCATATATCACATGGAAAATGAAAAGTACTTTGAAAACAGCCAATTATTTTGAATGTGTTAGAGGTGTTTGTTGGCAATGACATTGCAATTTCTATTCCAGGAGAACCTATTATTTTACAATGTTGTGATTTAATTCAAACAGTTATAAAATATAACTACTCAGAAGAAAATTGCTCACAGCACATATGAATGCATTGTCTCTACCTTATTTAAAAACATTAATTACTATTTACACAGCTTAGATTTTAAAATATAATCACCTATTGGAATGCTTATTATTAGCATTATCCATATTATTATTACAAGCCATGAAGGGTCCCTTATAAAAGAGGTATTATTTTATAGGTGATAGGGTCCTACTTGCTTTTTGGTAAGTGAGGGAAATAAACATTATTTGCCAGTCATACACAGAGAGAAAATCTACAGTAAAAATGCTGGGGTGAGGGCAGGAGGAAACTAGAAATGTGATTGAACTTGCACACAGAGACAGACTAAAAAGATTGATATTCTAAGATATTCTTGTTGTCAGGAAAGGCAACAGCTGAGAGGAACTATGATCAAAGAGAAAAATTTAAAAAGTAGTGAAACATGAAGCGAGGTAAAGAAAGACAGCCTGTGATACTACACTAAAGGAACAATGCCCTAACAGTAGAGCTTCTCTTGAATTTTGATAGACTTTCTCCTGTTTGTCCTAAAAATGTAATAATATCAGCAAACCACTCTTCATAGCATTTGATCTTTGTAAGCATTTTACATACATTAGCTCATAAAGTTCCCATGAGCACACTGTATTATGTTCTAAAGATGAAGACACTGGCACAGAGAGAGTAAGTAACTTGCCCACGGTCACACAGTACCACAGTCAGAGTCTAAAGTCTGGTTCCAGGGTTCACGGGCTTGTTCATGGCTGCAACCTCACCACCAAGATTAATGTCTCCTGTGTGGCAGGTATTGATAAAAATGTGTCCAAAGACTAAATGACTTGGGCTTGAGTTTCAGCTCTGCCACTTAGTAGCCTTATAATTTGGGACAAGTCACTTAAAACTGCAAATCTTTATTCTCCTCAGTTGTTAAATGGTGATAATGGCACCTGAATAATTCCGAAGATTAAATAGAATCCGTATGTAAAGGATTTTGCACAGTGAATGGTGCACCATCAGAATCCATACGCATGCTTTCTGCTATTATTACTGAGCTTTTGCCACCTCTGCTCACCTAAAGCATTGATTGACTTTACCCTGTCACTGAGCTCAATGCAACATGATTTTTATTACCTCCAGGAACACTCACTGGAGAATTTGCCCACCTCTAAGCAGATTCAGAGAACACAAAATGTACTGTGGAGTTGTTTTTCTACCTAAAGTCTCCAATGAAAATGTTTTGCTAAAAGGTGAATAAGGTTTCTTCTGTCAGTTATTCTCCAGAACTTGCTGTTTTGTTCTTTTTTTTTCCCTCTGAAACTTTATAAGCAAAGATGGGCCAGTGTTCCTTGAAAGGGCTTCTGCCCATCACGCTTGTAGTTCTAGATCCCCTGGCAAAAAAAGCAATTTGGAAGTAAGAAGGTTAAACTTTAACCCTGCAATCTAAGCAGATAACAGAGCAATTTTATAGACCTGGTGGGGTGTAAAATTGAGTCTGCTTAAAGTGTTAGGCTCCTATGTCAGTGCATAAAGGACACCAGCAGAAATTGGCCTTGCTCCTGTTAATGTTTAGCCCAAATATTACTCTTCAGGTCAATGCAAGTGGACAATAGGTATTTGTGACTCCTAATGGAAACTGCACAAGTGACCAATTATGAAATCATCTATAAAAGAGACAAAAAAACAGAGAAAGCTTTTTAAATCTAAACTTCTAGCCCTAGCTGGTTTGGCCTGAGGACTGAAGGGTCCCAGGTTCAATTCAGGTTGTGGGCTCGATCCCCAATAGGGGGCATGCAGAGGCAGCCAATCAATGATTATCTTGCATCATTGATGTTTCTATCTCTCTATCCCTCTCTCTTCCTCTCTGAAATCCATAAAAATATATTTTAAAAAACACAAACTAATCTTCATTATGAAAAATAAAGTAAAATAAATCTAAACCTCTATGTAGCTTTTTTTATAAGTAGTCATCACTCTATCCCTTTTGGACCAAATTAGCAATTAAAAAACATAGTGAAAAAAATCAAGTGGGAAGAAAAAAGATTTCATCACACAGGTAACCTGAACAAAAAAGGTACAACAACTGACAATAAAGCTTGCTTCTGGGAATGGCTTGTGTTCTTCAGACACTTTAAACCATGTCTAAAATCAAATGATCACCTCTTCTTAACTTTCATGGCCTTCTCTGTTCCTCATCTTGCTTAACGCACCAGCATCCCTCTGGTGGAATCACTTTGTAGGTTTTCTATCTTTCACTCAGCACCACCAATTGCTCCTCAGTGTTTACAGTTGCACCTTCACCATGCGTTTCAAGTCCTTCTTCTCCCTTCTATGCCCACCCCCTTAGATTGAGGCATTTGTCCTCTTCTCTAGACAGAAAAGTCTATGGTGAAGACCCAACAGAGTAATTGTGGCATTACACTGAGGTGAAACCCCTCCTTCGACACAGAGTTATTGTGAGGTCTTGGGTTAGTGATTTCATTTCATTGTTTAGTTCTCTCATTTAAGTGGAGATTTCATGATCTATTATTGTGTCATATTCTCATGCTGAGTTTCAGTTGGTTCCTTGATTCAGAAATCAATACCCAGCTGGCTTTTGCTGACAGCTTTGACACCCTGTTCATGTCTTGTATTAAACGTTACTCTTGGTTCTTTGCTAATCTTTTCTCTGACTTCAAGTTCACCGTCAACTCTTCTAAGGTAGGACTTGTGTCCAGCTCCCTTGACTCTTGGCTAACTCTAGCCATCTCAAAACCCAAACAAAAAGGGATACATTCCTCATTTTGAACCAGTAATCAAACTTCTGGGCATACATATATCCAAAGGAAATAACAGTATATCAAAATGATATCTGCACTCCTTTGCTCATTGCAGAAATATTCACAAACGCTAAGATATAGAAATAACCTAAGTGTCCATCAAGAGATGTATGGGATAAAGAAAACTTGGCATAGATATACAATGGAATGTTATTCAGCGATGAAAAAGAAGGAAATCTGGCTGTTTGTGGCAATAGCATGGAACTTGAGGGCATTATGCTAAGTTAAATAAGCCAGGCAGAGAAAGACAAATACTTTATATTACTTATATATGGAATATTCAAAAATAAAATAAAAAAGTCAAATTCATAGAAACAGAGAATGAAAAAGGGGTTGCCAAGGACTGGAGGTGGGTGGGAGGGGGAGGGAGGAAATAGGGCAAGACTGGACAAACTTTCAGCTATAAGATAAATAAGGTTTGAGGAGCTAATGTAGAACATGGTGACTGTATTTGATAACACTGTGTTGTATAATTGAAATTTTCTAAGATAGTAAAATTTAAATATCCTACCCCCCCCATAAAAAAACAACAACCTCACACTAAATAAATGTGAAGTGATGGATGTGTTAAGTAACTAAATGATGGAAATCCTTGCAGTTTGTTCAATGAGGGCTATAATTCCTGTGATGTGTTATTCTCCCAGAAGCTTTATGAGGATGATATAAGATAATCAAGAGAAATATCACTAAGTATCTTACAATTTTATATGTCAAATAACTCAATAAAGCTGAAATAGAAATAAATAAATACAAGTGTTGGATAATTCCCCATCACCTCAGCCTTTACTGCAGAGTAAGGTCCAAACTGATGTTGGCACCAAGGACCTACAAACTCTGGTCCCAGCGCAACTTTTCAGCCTTCTCCTCCCTACTTCTTATTCTTTTTGTCTTAAGCTTTTATCTTTTCAGGTACCTAGAATGTTCCTCCTGCTTTTTCTGCCTCCAGTGAAATGATTATTCTTTTCCAAAGAGCACTGCTGAAATATTCTCTCTTTGTGAAATGCACTGAGGATAGACTCAGTCTCACATCTGTGGCTATCGGAGTCATGATCATCATGGTATAGAACAGTGATTCCCAAAGTGGGCGCTACCGCCCCCTGGTGGGCACTGCAGCGATCCAGGGGGGCGGTGATGGCCACAGGTGCATTTGTTTTAACTTTTTTTGTATTACCTTTCTATTCTGAGTTCAATAAATAGTTTCATAATTTCAAACTTCAATGTTTCTAATTTACACCTTTCTTTACTATATTTTACGAAAAAGTTAGAAACATTAATACATATATCTTTCTGTTTAATTGCTATTAAAATTAAAAAAAATTAATTTCCAGGGGGCACTGAGTAATATTTTTTCTGGAAAGGGGGCGGTAGGCCAAATAAGTTTGGGAACCACTGGTATAGAATAACAGCAATGGCAGCCAACATTTAGGGACCACTTACTAGCCAGTCATTGTTGTAAACACTTCTAATGCTCATTTGAACTTCTGGGTGAACATATAATATTGGCTACTATTATTTCCACTGTACACAGAAGGCAATGGAAACTCAGGAAGGGTAAGAAACTTACCTGAGGTTTCTATAGCTAGTCACAGAACCGGGGTTTGGACCAAATAGGCTAATCCCAACATTATCGCTCTTAACTTTGTAACTCTTTACCTCTCTAGCATTGCCTCTCACAGCATTTTTCTTAAATTTGTTATATGCGAGTGATCTTTATATATATATGTCTGTTTATTTCAGTACCAGGTCAGCCTTCAGACGTCATGATCTATGTGTTCCCCTGTTCCAGGCACTATTACTTTTCACATAGTGCTCCATAAATGTCTTCTTTATCTACATGAAACCTACTAAACCTGCCAATAGGAAATGGCTGTCCTGGGGTTCCTGCCTCTGGCTTTCCTATACCAAGACTCACTCGTGATTTAATGCAGATTCCTGGTAGATACATGATAGACCAGGAACTAAAAAGAAAAGCCCATCTTCCTATTTGTCACTAAACAGCTATGCAACTTCGAACAAGCCACTTAATCTCTCCTTTTTTCAGTTTGTTAAATGAGGGCTATAATTCCTGTGATGTGTTATTCTCCCAGAAGCTTTATGAGGATGATATAAGATAATCAAGAGAAATCATTTTAAAACCTGTAACAGCCCATACAAAGGGAAGGGACAACTATTCTAATTATTACAACACGCAGTTTACAATAAGTGACAGGCTGGTTGGTATTAAAACGGGATTAAGTAGAGTTTCCAATTTTCCCACTTGCTGCCTTCCATGAGCAGTGAAGTACCAGGAACAAGGGAAATTAAATGCTAGCTTTGGAACATCCACTGCCCCAGCCAGAAATAACTAATGCCATCTCAATATTCCTGCAAGGTTAGATCTAGGAGATGAGGCACAGCCTGCACTTTTCATTTGTACATGATCAGACTGAAGTCAGAACACAATCTCTTTGGACAACATGGGCTTCGCAAGGGTGCCCTATGTTGAGTAGGTAGGTGGAAAATACTTTTTTTTTTTTTTTTGTAAAACTGACCAAAACACTGAATGTAACTACAGAACTGGTAAAAGTACACAGACTCTGCCCCTACCCTCACACCTCTTACTGATGAGGTGATTCAGGCAAGAGAATTAGCCTCTCATCCCTCAGTTGCCTATTTTGTAAAATGTGAATAATAAAGAGTGTGCATTTTATAGGACTATTTTTAGGATAAAATAAATTAAACTGTGCAAAGCACTTATTTATTTATTTATTTTTTGATGCAAGAGCATAAGAGTCTTTATTCGAGCTAGCTCGGCTCCCCCACCTTGTCGACGCAGCGACAGGAAGCAGAGAGAGCTATTTTTTTAAAATTTTTATTTATTTTTTAAAGATTTTTAAAATTGATTTTTTTTTTTTAGAGAGAAGGAGAGAGAGAGAAACATTGCTGTGAGAGCAGAACATCCATCAGCTACTTCCTGTATGTCTTCTATTGGGGATTGAGCCTGCCCTGACCATAAATCAAACCAGACGATGCCCAACCACTGAGCCACACTGGCCAGGGCATATGCAAAGCACTTAGATCTGTACTAGCCACATAGTAAGTGTTAGATGCTTATTAAATAAGTAAAAATAACATCTGAAAATTCTATTACAAAATTTTTTAGCTCATACAGATGATAAAGTTGAAGGACCTTGTTTCATACATGCAAATTAAGTTTATAAACCCTCGCAGGTTATGTTTCTGTTCCTCCAAAAAATTTCCTGACTATATGCCCAGGTCAGAGCTTTTAGCTAAAGTCACTAAGGAGTTAGCATGAGATTAATTAATTGTCAGAAGGCTAAATATTTTTTAAAAAAACTTCCTGGAGGTTACTGTTGTATTTTTAATTGGCAGCATGTTGGCAGTTCAAGTGATTTTTTTGAAAATAAATCCAACAGCCACATGCTGATGTCTTCTCAGCCAAGAGAGGCATCTAAAACTTTCATGATCAATAAGCTGCCAGGAAACAAAACACTGAAATGTTATGCTGGGTTTGACACCAAAAACCTGAAGTAGAGTTAGGAAATTATGTTTTGCAATTATACAAGGCAATATGATGATGGTGGCTTATGGGTTATGAGTGGTCTAGCTTTATAATAACCTTGTTGCATTTGCTCTTCTGTGTCTGCTCAAATCAACAACAAAAACCCCTGGAATAAGGCTTTAATTTGGAGAATCAAGTATTTTGATTGAATGAGGGCACTGAGATGCTACTGGGTAAATCCTATATAATAAAAGCCTAATATGCTAAGTGTCCAGTCGATCAGTCAGCCGTTCAACCAATCAAAGTGTAGTATGCTAATGATATGCTAAGGCCGTTCAACTGCACGCTATGACATGCACTGACCAGCAGGGGGCAGATGCTCTGACCATTAGGTTACCTTGCTGCTGGGGTCCAGCCAATTGGGACTGAGCAAGATGGGCTGGACACACCCTGGAGCCCTCCTGCTGTCCCTTCTCGGCTGGCCAACTTACTGCATCTCTCCCTGGCCCTGATCGTGCACCGGTGGGGTCCCTTGGCCTGGCCTGTATCCTCTCGCAATCTGGGACCCCTTGGGGATGTCGGAGAGCTGGTCTTGGCCCGATCCCACAGGCCAGGCTGAGGGACCCCACTGGTGCATGAATTCATGTACCGGGCCTCTAGTGTTATTATAAAGCGCGCGCACACACACACACACACACACACACACACACACACAATCAACTATTTATTATTTTTTTTGGCATTTATTCCTTACCATTATCTAGTAAGTAACCTTTGGTCACCATCATGTCCTTTGGATAAATAGGGAAAGAACTGGGCATGGAGAAAAAAGGTGAATTACTCAGTTAGTGAATGTGGAGATATAGCCACAGATTTGACAGTGCTTATTTTTAAAGAAAAAGCGTTTGTGCTCACATAGAGAAGAGTAGCTAGGAATTTCTTGATTCTAAGCCATTCATGAAATAGCTAAATTCCTTAATCCTATATCTACTCAAAGTCAATATATTTGTGTGAGCCAGCTGTCAGCCTCCAAGATGTCATGGAATTGGGAACAAATCTTACAAGAAGAGCAGTGTGACTGGCTCTGAGAATTGTCACTGGTCCTGTAGATCCCCAACTTCTGGTTCATAAGACAACAGAATGTGAGGCGATCTCTATGGGTGTAACCTATACTCCTATTCATTGGGTTTGGCCAATGGGAAACACCAACAGAAGATCAAGAAGGAGGACAATAAAGAGTCTGTGGTATTGATTCTTTGGGATCCCTCCTTGGTGGCATGGAGTTGATAGTAGCTGTATTCCTCTTCCAAAGGCCAGAGTCCCTGTTGGGGAGACGTCTGTGATGGTTATAGCTATAGCTATGGTTTTCTTCATCTTCTGGTAAGCAACAGTCTAGAAATGATAACATTCACTCCAGCCAGTTACAAATAATCCCTTCATTAATTTATCCTCCATTGCCCCATCTAAGTGGACCTTGTGTTTCCTGCCTGGACCCTGACTGGTAGTAAATCATAGAATTTCAGTTTTGAAAAGTACTGGACTTGGAGTTCAGTTTCTCATCCTAGATTTTTTTATTATTTTATTTTGAGAATCAAAATCTGGGGACAGTGAAATCAGGAAGGGCTTAGGATAAAAGGAACAACAGGAGAGACTAGGTGTGGCTGCTTTGGGTCACTGGTAGTCAGAGAAAAGGGGGCCTTGGAGACAGGCTCAGGGTGTTAGCCTAGGAGGAATTGCCACTGCCCATTGCTCCCCTGGTTGCAAGCCTTGTGGGGTCCCTTAGAGTTTAGGAGTTGTGTGCTTGTGAGGGAGGAAGAGCCTAGATTTTTTTTTAATAGCTCTGTGATTTTGAGCAAATTATTTCCCTTCTCTGGGTATCTATTTTCTCATATATAAAATAGGCTATCCTATATAATAAAAGCCTAATATGCAAATTGTCCCCTCGGGTGGGCGGTTGTTTGACCAGCAGACTGGGAGTTTGACTGCTTGCTCTGATGTGCACTGACCACCAGGGGGTGGCATGGAACATGGCGGGAGTCGGTGATGCACTGCAACCTCTTGCCAGCTACCTGGGGGCAGGGGTAATAGGGATGGAGATGCGGTGAGAATGCAGGGTGTCCACCGAGCTTGCTTTCACTCCCCTTGTTACCTTCCCCCAGGATGTCAGGGCTCGCATGCCAAGGAAGCCCCTGCAAGAAGCCCGTCCCGCACCCACGCTGCATCTTCCGGGTGAGCCAGGCTGCAACTGTTGAGACCACAGGGGCTGGTTGGGCTCCCTGCAGGAGCTGGTCTGCAAGGCCGGCCAGGAGAGAGTGTGCTGCCGTGTGGCACCACTGGGAGGCCCAGAGGCCCACGCTGCACCCCAGCCTGTGGTGTCTGTCCATCCGCTCTTACTGCATCTCTGTGTGGGGACTTGGGTGCTGTGAATCAGGCAGAGGGGGGTGGAGGGGGGTGCGTGGGGACCCAGGGGCCCAGGTGCTGCCCAGGTCCAGAGGTCAGCTGGGACCTTCCCTTCCACGCCAGACACTTGCACTTGCGCTTCAATTGCTGGCCAGGTCTAGGGACCATACCTGTGCATGAATTTTGTGCACCGGGCCTCTAGTATTCTTTATAATAGGCTATTATTATTGTTGTTGCTACACTAGGTATGATACTCATAGCATGTAAAATATGATGACTTTTTGCTTAGAACAGTGGTTCTCAACCTGTGGGTCACGACCCCTTTGGGGGTCGAATGACCCTTTCACAGGGGTCGCCTAAATACATCCTGCATATCAGATATTTACATTACGATTCATAACAGTAGCAAAATTACAGTTATGAAGTAGTAATGAAAATAATTTTATGGTTGGGGGTCACCACAACATGAGGAACTGTATTAAAGGGTCGCAGCATTAGGAAGGTTGAGAACCACTGGCTTAGAAGTATCTAATCCAATAGATCTTTCTATGTGGCAACCCCATGAAACTGGCCTCTCTTTTGGAAATTTTTCAATAAGGATTATTCTATTGATGTGACAGTCCCATATCTTGCAGCTTTTCAATAAGAGTATCTGTATCATAAGACTAAGGGGGCTTGTATGTGTTTTATTCCAATTTCTAGTTGTGTAATTCTGCACAAATTGTTGCAGTATCTTGAGGCCAAAGTTGCCTCAAGTGTGAAATGGATGTAAGCCTTACTTTCCTTGAGGCAGAGGGCCAAACCTATGCTTTTCCACAATCCTTCCCAATGTGAAGATCTGTGATTCACATTATGAAAAAGAGCTACAATTAGATGTCCAAAGGTGTATGTTGAGTAGATAAATATAGGATTAAGGATTTTAACTAGTTATTTCAGGAATGGTTTTATTATCAAGAAATCCCTAGCTACTCTACTCTGTGTGAGCACACATACTTTTTCTTTAAAATATAAATGTTAATCCATGTTAAGGCTATAACTCCTCACGGATAACTGAATAATTCACATTATCTTCCCATACTCCAGCTCAGCCTGATAAAATGGTGCAGACAGCAGGCTCTGTTGTCAGAATCCCTGCTCTGATCATGGGAAAGTTGTCTGACTGGTCTGTGCCTCAGTTTTCTGAGCTGTTGTGTGGGGAAGACAATATGCCTTCCTCAGGAGGGAGCATCAACTTAACCGAGTCAATACTTGTCATATATTCATACTCATGCTGTCTCATGGGCCAAGTGCTTTGCAGAAATGATCTTGTTCAGACCCCACAACAACCCATTTTTCTGATGATCACAGTGGCCCTTCCTTCTGCACTCTGAATAAACTATGTGACTTTCCTCCTTAGGAACTTGTCACTTGCTGTTTCCTCTTCCTTGGAACTCCCTCTCCAGACCCTCACATCACTGACCTCCTCTTGTTTTAGGGTCTCAAATAGTCAAATACAATTTACAATAACTATACAATGTAATATTATGTTTGCCATTGAAAATGACTTTACAAATTCTTTAATAACAAGGCTAATATTGATAAAAGTATCCTATCTAATAAAAGACAAAAAGGGTAATTAACCGTACCTCTGCTATGCTTCCCATTGGCTAATCAGCGAGATATGCAAATTAACTGCCAACAAAGATGGCGGCCGGCAGCCACGCAGCTGAAGCAAGCAGGAGGTTTGCTTGCTCCAGTGATGGAGGAAGCCAAGGTTTCCCGCCTGCCGTGGCCTGGCTCTGAGCTCCGAAAGCAACAGCTCCAAAAGCAACAAAGTTTCAATTATAGAAGGTAAATAAATCCCAGAAAAAAAGGAGAGGCTGGGAGCTTCAGTCGCAGGCCAGCCTGAAAACAGCCCTCAGCCCCTCACCCAGACTGGCCAGGCACCCCAGTGGAGACCCCCACCCCGACAGGGCTGTGATCAGCTGAAAACAGCCATCAACCCCTCACCCAGGCTGGCCAGGCACCCAAGCGGGACCCCCACCCTAATCCGGGATACGCTTCAGGGCAAACCAGCCGGCCCCCACCCATGCACCAGGCCTCTATCCTATATAGTAAAAGGGTAATATGCAAACTGCCCCTAACAGCAGAAAGACTGGGAATGACTGGTCACTATGACACACACTGACCACCAGGGGGCAGACGCTCAATGCAGGAGCTGCCCTCTGGTGGTCAGTGAGCTCCCACATGGGGTAGCTCTGCTCAGCCACAAGCCAGGCTGATGGCTGCCAGCACAGCGGGGGTGGGAGCCTCTCCTGCCGCCTCAGCAGCACTAAGGGTTTCCAACTGCAGCTTAGGTCTGCTCCCCGCTGGCAAGTGGACATCCCCCGAGGGCGGCCAGGCTGCCAGAGGGATGTCTGATTGCCAGCTTAGGCCCAATCCCCCAGGAAGCAGGCCTAAGCCAGCAGGCGGCCATCCCCTGAGGGGTCCCAGACTGTGAGAGGACACAGGCCGGGCTGAGGGACCCCCCGCCCCCGAGTGCACAAATTTTTGTGCACCGAGCCTCTAGTGCAATGTAATAAAGGATAAAAACTAGGTATAGCTTGGCCAGCATGGCTCAGTGATTGAGCATTGACCTATGAACCAGGAGGTCATGGTTTGATTCCTGTTCAAGGCATATGCCTGGGTTGCAGGCTGTATCCCCAGTGTGAGGCATGCGGGAGGCAGTCGATCAATGATTCCCTCTCATCATTGATGTTTCTATCTCTCTCTACTTTTCCCTTCCTCTATGAAATCATAAAAATATATTAAAAAAACCCCAAACTTGGTATAGATGATATCTCATTGATACACACACAATAAAAAAAGATGTCCATACTTATTTCTTGATACTTCAAGGGAGAGGGGTATAGCAGGACTACGAATGTGTTGTGTGCTGTGAGTGTGGTGTGTATGTGTGTGTGTGTGTGACTTCTCATCTATTTTGCACTTTCCAAATTTCCTGCCATGAACTTGAGTAACTGTTGTAAATAAACCGTTCACCTTCCCATACCCCAAGGGGAAGGAGGAGGATCAGGAAGAGAAGAAAACTATTCTGTGGAAGAAAGTGTTGACACTGAAGAGTTCTCTCAAGGGCAGGAGTGCGGTAGAAGTGAAAGGGAAGGCTTATTTGAGTTCACTGTGAGGAAGGATGCCCCTTAAAGCTGGCTGTCACGAATGGGTGGCTTTCTGAAGAAGCTGGGCTGCTCCCTGGTGAAGCAGGAGTCTGTCTGGGAACTGGATATGGCTACAAGTCTTTCCTATGCTCTCTCCAAACTCTCAGGTTCTTGATTGTGGGAATCTAAGTGCTCCATAGTTTAGGGGAGTGTAGGCTTTTCTGCAGGAAATGTTTTGTTGTTGTTGTTGTTGTTGTTATTTGCATAATATTGATAAATCTCACATTTCCTGCCAAGAGGAATGAAAGTTCTTTTTTTCAATCTGCCTTCCTGGAATAAGAAAATGAAATTTAGGGTGAGTATTGGCCCTGTATGGAACTCACTTTCAGCCCCTAGCTTTGAAGCTGCATGGGATCTGGTTTAGAATATTTCCTCAGCCCCCCTGCAGGTCATTCAAGCCTGGAACTAGCCCAGTCAGGCCTCCCCTCCCCTAGGGTTCTCTGTGTGTGGTCCAGCAGGCAGACCTGTGGGCCCCTGCTTTTCCTCCTGGAGGCCCTGGGTCCTCGGCCACTCCGGTACCACCTGCCTTGTGCCTCGTGTTATCATATCATCTTTTGAGTTTGTGTCCAACCGCTTAGGGCCCAGATCATAAATAGGGATCTAATGAAATCACTATTTAAAGTAACATAACAATGGAATTCATGTCTTCTCTTTTCCAAGTAACTTACTTCCACATGCTGGGGTTTTAATGGGTAGCTAATGGGGAAAGTGGTGGCTACTGAAGGCAGGAGTTTTATATCTGCAGACCATTTGGAGTTCACACATTGGCGGCCATGTCTAGTGTTGATTCACTATCAGCCAGTTTCATGAACTCCCATTTTTATAAAAATAGTTTTTGGAGTCCTTCTGCTCATTTTTTTTTTTTGGTATCTTTTTTTTCAAGAACTGTTCTGACATCTTCCTCATATCTGCTTGGAAATTGTAGTGTACCCACTTATTTGTGTACTTTACCAAATATTGGAACAAGAGGCATGCCCAAGAGGACTGGGCGATTTTGCTCTTCCCTAAGTAAATATAGCAATCCATTTGAAAGTTACATTTCACCTGCCTGCTTTGTACAAATGACCATATTTTTGGTAAATATCTGTTCCATTGACAATTTTGACTCCAGCTTGAAAGGATAAAAGCAATGGCTCTCACAGCCCACATTTGCTGACAAATTGTGGCAATAAAAAGATCTGCAGCTTCAGTATCATGCAGGAATAGGTTTTGGAGTAATTCTTCATGATGGCCTTCTGGGTTGTTGATGACATGTCATGTTTTGTTTTTGAGATGGTGTGCATGTGTTCAATGAAGGAAAAAAGTCAAAGCAATGTTTCTCAACCACAGTTCTATTTTTTTTTTTTTTGTCCATTTAGTTATTACTCATAAAAGTAATTTTGTCCTGTCCCCTCTCTCCACAGAATGTCCTAGTAGGACAGATCTTTTTCAAAGCTGTTTTATGTACTGTTCTCTCTCCTAGCACAAGGACAGGACCTGGCATATAATAAATATATGTTGAATGACTAAGTGAATTAATTAAATTTTAGTATTATGAAATATTACAGCTGGAGGCTAAGACCAACAGTAGTGCATATTAATATGTGATATTCAGCAGGGCTGAAAATCAGCATAATATTGCCCTGCTGTTAGCCAAATGGCTCAAGGCAATTCCCTAACCTGATAATCCTTTTACTGTTTACCAAACTTTACCTTTGATATGCCTGTTTGCATTCCTAAAGGGCAAATGTGTATTCAAGTGAATAAAAAGCAGACAGGACTGAGTTTTGAGGGAGCTTCTCCACTAGAGGGAAGTTTTCTGCCTGGCCCCCCATGCCTTCTAAATTCATATTTCTTGTCTAGTGTATTCATTTGTGCACAGTCCCTTCTTCAGATCCTGAACCCTAGCCACAAATGGATGTGACATTCACATATTACCTTTGGTCAGTGCCACTGAAATGATTTACCATTCTATTCTGGGACTTTTGATTGGAATGTATTGGGTTGTTTGAAGTACTTTACATATTTTCTCCATTTTTGTTGTGGAGATTAGTGAAATTTCAGGGCATTTACATTTTCAAATCATGAATTGAGTCCATCAGTTCCTACAACACGGTGTGGGAGTATATAAAGAGAGTAGGCAAAGACATGGGTTATTCTCATTTTTAGGTTTTTCTTTTCAAATCTTTTCCTTATTTTGCCTTAAAGATAATGATTAGCAAGTGAAAACAGAATCTTGCAAGTAAATCTTTCAAATGACAAAAGTAAAATTTAATGGATTTTTTTAACCTTAGATAGAGAATAAAATAAATATCATTGTAAGAGTTAACTGGATTGAAATTTCAATATTCAAACCAGAAATTTAGAATGTTTCTCCTAGCTTCTTAGTGATTTGTTTTCTCACTGGGGAAGAACAACACCTCTGTGTGTCTGACTCCCACTGTTCTTTGATGCTTGAAAAAAAAATGTGTTGAAAGAATGTTTGTATACATAGAATATTTGTAAATGTTCATATGTACAGCATTTTTAAATTTTATTTTAACTTTATTAATCCTCACCCAAGGATATTTTTCCATTGATTTTTAGGGAGAGTGAAAGAGAGGGAAAGAGAGAGAGAAACACCGATGTGAGAGAAACACACTGCTTGGTTACCTCCTGACCAGGGCCTGGGCTTGGGAGGAGCCTGCAACCAAGGTACATGCCCTTGGCCAAAATCAAATCTGGGACCCTTTGATACTCAGGCTGACACTCTATTCACTGAGCCAAACCAGCTAGAGCTGTACAGCATCTTTTTAAAAATAAATAAAGGGTTTCCCATTAGATATCCTTATTTTGTACTCCTTAAGAATGGCATGAAATTAGAGAAAGAGAAAATGGAGAGTATGCTGGTTAGTCTATATGTCATGTTGGCTAGGCTATAGAACCCACTTATTTAATCAAACACTAATCTCAGTGTTACTGTCTAGATATTTTTGTGGATGTGATTAACATCAATAATCCATTGGCTTTCAGAAACTGAGAATACCCTGGATCATGTGGGTGGACCTCATCCAATCAGTTGGAAAGACGGGCAAAAACAGAAGTTTCCTGTAGAAGGAATTCTGTTCAAGGTTACAGCACCAAATCCTGTCTGAGTTTCCAGCCTGTCAGGCTGACCTATGAACTTTGGACATGCCTGGTCCTACAGTTGTGTGAACCTATCCTTAAAATAACTCCCTTTATATGTATGTTTGTATCTATATATCTCAGTATATGTGTATATACATGCATTAGTATATATATGTATATATATATGTATATGCATATGTATATGTGTATATGTATACATATGTATGCATTGGTTCTGTTTTTCTAGAGAACCCTGATTGATACAAGTAGAGAGTGCGCAAAGAAATAAAAAGTCACATCTGTGTAAATGTTTTTCACTTTATAGTAGTTTTTCTCTAACCTAATGATATTTCTGAAGTTTGGCAGTATCTACATTATAGCACCAAGTGCATGTAGGGGAGTCAAGAAATTTACAAGGTAAATACACTTTAAAGGGTACACTGCTCTGTTCACAAGTTAGGCAAGGGGAACCCAAGAGTTATCTGAGCCTCAGATCAAACAAAAACTTCCAAATGTTTTGAAGCCCAAGCTCCTGTCACCAACACCGCGCTGTCCATCTGCCAATCAGGAAGCACCTTGAAATGGCACAAAAGTTCCCCTGGGTATTTAGGTAAACACGTGTACATCAATCGAGTTGGTCTTGCGGAATAAAATGTATTGACTGTCTTTAGAAGCAGAGAACTGCAATGCATGCAGACCTAAACAAACAACGCAAACATTTTTGGGGAAACAAACGAACAAACAAACTTGCTTTGAACAGCAGGAGACGATGTTTTGGCAGCTGAACAGGGCAAGAGCTTCATGAGCCGCTCTTTGATGCTGCGCTTGGTGCTGTTCTGAGCGTAGAGGAAACCTAGAAGATACCGACAGGTTCCGTTAACGCTGCCCTCCAAGGGAAACTAGGGTGGGCTGCATGGTTATCAGAGGAAGCCAGCAGGCAGGACCTATACTCAGCCAGCAGCTCAGGCAATCACAGGCAAGTAGGTTGGGACTCTAGGAGGAGAAAAAAAAAACTTTCCCCTTTCTGTTTTTCTTATGTTTTAGGTTTTTCTTTCCAAACCTTTTCCTTATGTGACATTAAACATAAT